AGTTTGACATCTCTTTTCAGTTTGAGTGTATGAATAGACTAACTTGTTCTACACATCAAATAGATAATTGTCACATCCGGATGCACAAGATCAGTTCTAGATAAATGAGAAATTGATGTCCAAAGTCAGGATTTAAAAATAATAATAATAATAATAATAATAATAAGGAAAAAAAAAGGACCATGTAACAAGACTGCTTGAGGGGCTACCTCGTGAGCAGCGAGTGGTCGTGTCACTGAAATTTCTACTCGCGGTGTGGCTAGCGAGCAATCTGAATGGCTATGTTTCTATGAAACCTGCTGAATTTTGGGACACGTCTCTTCGGCCACAGTTCCCCAACCTTTATAAATTGGACTTTGTTGGTAATCTAAATTCATCGCATATCATATGTATTGATTACATTTAACCAAATCAATTACATAACCATAGTTTTATTGCATAAAAATTCCATTCAAAGTAGAGAGTTCTTTTCATTTTCAAGTTCATTGATTCCTTGAAGTTTTAAGTGTCTTTACTGCAAAGAGAAATCGTTGTATCTTGGGAGAAGATTGCCAAGACTCCATAAGCTTTTTGGCGGGGCAAATTCAATTTATATATATAGTGTTAAACACTAGCCTCGGTTCACAAAGTTAATTGTTCTTCCTCATTTCTGCATTTGTATTTTGTCATTACAAGTGGATACTTTGTTTAAATAATTCAAAATATAATTTGCAATTCACACACATAATCACGAAGAAACCACAGTGCGTTTGGTTTGAAGCTGAGAATCATGGAAACATCGAAATTTTAAGCAGATCCCTTTGATTGCTTTTGAATCTACTGTGCTAAAAGCTTCCATGGAGCCTTGGAAGATTGAGAAGATGCTGTTTGGAGAGGAAATTAAGAATAGTATAGCTTGTGAGCCTGTGAGGGTGTCGATATATAGTAAGGCACGATAAGCTTGATTAATGTATTCCTGGGCTTGAGTTATTTGGGTTTGGTAAGGTGTCTTTGAGGTACCATGTGATGTTGCAGTTAAAAGAGATTGTTGCTGAGTTATAACTATGTTGCATATAAAATCAAAGAGGAAATGGCTGTTTTATAATCTGCTGTCACGATCAACCACACTTCCTTGTTTCTCATAGAGATTTAAAGGGTATGATAGTTTCTGTTAGTGCGAAGCTCATATTTATTAATTTCTATTTCTGTCTGGAAGAATAGGCTTATTTTCTTATTCAAATGAAGTATTTTAACATGGCTTTTCTTTCCCTATTGAATAATATGTCTGTACTGCACATTTAGATAAACGAAAAGCGTATTCTATAGCCCCTGTTTGATCCCCATTTTCTGAAAAATATACATTTTTAAACAGTGTTTTGACATCATTTCAACTACACATTTTTCAATAAAATAATATTATACGTAAATCCAAAGCTTTTTATTTTTTATTTTTAAACTATCAATACACTATTCAAAAATTCATTATTATCAAAAGAATGGGCTCAAACAGGGCTAAATCTGAAAACTGCCTACCTTAACTCTCTTGGGAGTTCAACTGTCTTAACCATGGTCTTCACCTTAATTCTCTGAAATTCATTTTTTGTTGCTGCACAAATCTGAAACAAGATTGACAGACAAAAATCACAAAACACTGGTTTCAGAAACTAGATTTCTTGCCAAAATGATGCTATACGCTTGTCTATGCTGTTGGATAAATTGGTGCATTGCATCATTAATCAGAAACATGTGCGTGCTAATACGATAAAATCACAATTTACTAGTGCAATTTACCAGATAGAGTTTTGATTTACCGAAACCAAGGTATGTGGATGAATAATAAGCAAAACGACTAATTACAAACCCTTAAAAAAAAATGTAGAAATTAGAATGAGATGAAATGAAACGAGGTACATGAGTGCAAATCTCTTTAAAACATATTTCGCCCCCTGCACTGGTGTTAATAGGATCAAATAGACATCTCTTTTAGGATATAACGTTTCTATTAAAATTAACATAGCACAATATCCAGACGAATGCCTATACTTTTTAAAATTGGATGATATCAATGCAAAAATATCGAACACGAATATCGAAAATAGTTTGGGTAATATTTTAGTTAAATTTGGATAAAGGAAAAATTGGAAATCAATTTAATTGGAATTGATTAATAATGCAAATAGAATAAAATTGATTCAATTTATAGATTCAATGTCTTCTCTGAATTGGTACCTTTGGACATAAATTATTTTAGATCATCATATGATTCCTTTTCAAATTTGATCATGATCTAATGTTATGATTTTTCATCATGCACATTTTTTGAATAATCACACCCAATTCGAAAAATCACAACTCCTTAATATGCATCATTTACATTTGAAAAGTCGCGACCAGTTATCGCACTAATTTGACACCTTTCCAATTTACAACTATTAAAACATTAATCCCCTATTTAGTATAAATTAAAATTCAGATTTTAATATAAGTCAAAGTCAAATATTAATTTTAACCACATATTTTATGGAACTTATAACTTTTCAACCTTGTATTTCATTATCTTTTATCAAAATCTATTTAAAATCTGATTTTTACTAAACAGAGTAAATCTTAATTTTTTTTAAAAAACCATTAGTTCTAGCATAGGTTCTAGCATAGGCTACTTTGAAGGAGTCAATTTCAAAGTTGATGCAGAATATTGGATAGTATTAAAAAGAAATTATTATCCCGTTTATTAACAAATGTGACAAAAGAATTTGCATTACTTTCACGCTACATCATCGTCAGAGATAGGGCTGAATTGAGAGCATGAGCCTCCAACGATACACATACATCAGTTATGATTGTCATCATGTATTAGCAGGCTTTGCTCCACAAATAAGCATTTAGTTACTTCTCTGTGCTTTTGCACTTCCAACATGGCTCGTCCTCCCACTTTATTTTTTAAGTTTGCTTATTTTCACTGTGAATATTCTTCAGTAAAGTTGGGAGTGTTACACCTAGACCGGAGGTTTAGCAGGTCTTTGTTGAGAATGATCGTGGAGATGTGAGATCTCCTATTGTACAATCTAAGAAAATTGTACACATATTTAGCATATAATATAGTGTCTAAGAACTTAAGAGCATCAATTAGTGGTGTAAAGGAGGGTCAATCCACATTTTGAGTCTAGTTGTGTTATCCTAGCTTTGCTGACCTATGGCTCTAAAGGCTGGCCCTAAAATTTTAATTTGCTTTTTCGGAAAATCAAGCAAGAGACACGAAACATCAAGCTCTTGTTTAGCGCAAGTATATTTTCTAAAAATCATTTTTCCTTAAAATTCATTTTCAACAACACATTTCCATAAGTATATAATATTTATCAACTTTTCAACCAGTGGATAAAGAAATGCTTGTTCGTCTCCAATATTATTATTATTATTCAAGTGGTAAATTAGACGATTAGGGTCGGTCCTGAAATGTTGGGGGTTTTAGGCCATCTTCAAATATGGGGCCTCTAAAAATGTTTAAAAAATATGAATATAATAATTGAAAAAATGAGCGAAGATCCATCAAATTGGTCTCAAAGATTAGTAAGGAAATCAAAACACTTCCCTTTCGTGCACCCTCATTTTATTCAAAGAAACTTTCCCTCTATAGTAGTTGTCCACTTGTCCTCTTTCTGCAATTTTTATTAAATAATAATATTCAAAGTTATGAAAATAATAATGTGAAATTTTCAAATGTATAAATTAAATTTACTCTCCTTGAATTTTGGATAGAATATCAAAAATTATATTACCACATTCAATTTATTTAATAACTTCTTTTTGAATAGACACCATAGATTTTTATCAACTTCAATTCTGAGAAGCTCATAACGGCATATGCAATTGTAACTGATATAATCTATTATATTTTATAAGTAATCCACACATTTGAAAAATAAAAGTCTTATCATTTTTATATAGTCAACACTTCAATCACATTTTTCATCTTTTCTTAAAAACAATTTCAAACAATTTGCAACTTAAAAAATAAATTCTGCCCATCAATACTGGAATCTTTGTCATACTTCAAATATTCTTCGAGCTTAACATACCATTTTATCAAAAAGAATCTCAAAAGTTTTTTCGTATTTTCAGCTGAATGCATTATTTCATTATTTACCTCTTTTTTTTTTTTTTATTATTAAATTGCTTCTTTATATGAACAATCAGATTTTCATGAAAAGTAGGTTCAACTTCCATTCGAGAAGTAATCTTATCAAATTCAAATTAAATTTCTCTATATATTTTAGAAAATGAAATAAGTGATTTCAAGTGACTAATAACAACATCAATAAACACGTTCTCACTTTGCAACATTTTGCTTACTCTATTAATAGCAGACAATATACTGTACCAAACAACCAAGTCACAAAAACTAAAAATACGTAATGTCATAAGATAAACTTTTAGCATCTCTAAATACCTTGTAGTAATCAATTTTCCGTCAAGTTTTCTAAAGAAGTTTTTATTTGTGGATCTTGAAATCTTATTGCATTAATACTTCCAACTTGATTTTCTCAATATGTTTGTGATATTCACTTAAGTGTCAGACATTTACATTATAGAAATAACCCACAATATAAATATAATACTATCAGTATCACTGTCAAAGAATGTGAATGTATGCTATAGAATCGTAACGAGTTGAAGTTAAAGATGAGGAATTAAAGATGATTTAACAAGTGGAGAAAATAAAATAATAGCTGAAGGGTCACTAAAAAATAAAAGAATTGGAAAAGAGGAAAAAAAATAAAAAAATAAAAAAGGGCAAAAAAGAGACGACGAAAGCCACCCTAAAAGTAAGAAAAACGAAAAATAAACAATATTGAAAGTCAAGAATGTATGGAAAACTTCTTTTACGTTTTGAAGAATATACAACCTTTTTTTTTTTTTTTTTTTTAATCTTTATTATTTATATATATAATTTGTATAATAATTTTTTTATGGGCCCTCACCAAAGCGGATTAATGAGAATCTTTATAGTTCAAATCAGAACGTGAAACATTAAACATCCACTCAGTATTAAAATCTCACGGAATTCATTAATTCTTCAAAAAGTAATGCACTAACCGAACACGTTGGCAGCTCCAACCACTGCATTTTTGTAAATTAACGAACATATATAAATTAATAAACGAAGTAGGACTCAAAAACCGACTATATAACCTTAATTTTCTCTGTTCTGCTGCTGAAAAAGTCTTCAGAAATGTTTCACAGTCACATTGTATTCTGCTGTATCATTTCGATTCGTTTGATCAAACCAAATTGTATGTGCCAATGCATACCCTTTGGCCAACCTAAAAAGCCCTGATCCCCCAATAATTGGCATTTCTCTCACATTTTCAGAAACATGGTTACTCCCAATCATGCTGAGGCTACTACCATTGTATTTCCCATCTGTAAATACAAAGTTTACAATCATAAGCAAGCTAATATCATGCTGTGATGCAATGGAATACATCCCCTGTGCTCGTCCAACGAGCTTTGAGCTATGATCGGGGCCTTCTGTTAGTGCATCATCTATCATGTAGGTAGCACCGAAGCTCAGTTCATTCCCACTAATTATCTTCACTGCAGTGGGATTTTTCCCACTGGGAATGTCGTGATAGTAGAAATGGAGATGGCTCGTTTTAGCCATTCGCTTCATTGTTGTGTCGAAAATATTCTCCCAGAATATGGCACTGGAAGATGCAAGTAAGGTTGTGAAAATGTTCAGGTAGAGAATAAAGAGTCTGTGACTTAAGAAAGAAGTCATTTTGTGTGTTGATAATATGTTTGATAGTGTTTACTTATATATATTGAAGGTGACTGAGGAGTAGGTTCTGCATCCTACTGGCCATTATTATTTTCAAGGAATTGATACTATATGTACATAACACAGGGTTCATAATGGCGCCCCCCTTCACATGGAGGGAGACCCACTTCGAATAAATTATATTTTATTCAAAGTAGATCTTCTCCATGTGAATGGATGAACACCGTTATGGATACCCTAATGTACTGTAGCATGACCTTATTTGCAATGGGAAAACTACAGCTTCTGTGCGCTAGTTATGCATCGAATGTGATGTATAAGAGCATTTCAAATGATAGTGTGAAATTAGGATAGTGAAATTAGGAATAAATTAGTATCTATTAAATTACTTTTGCATTCTCATTTACATTCCGATGGATCTAAATTAAAATTTTACTCCAATGGAAAAATTTAAGTCCACATCTTGTCTTTTGTGAATGTAAAAGAATATATAAATTTTCATACTTTTTACATTTTTTGTCAGAAAATATAAAATGCATTGGAAAGGCTCTAACAATTTCCCTTTAGTGTTTTGCACAATTTAAAAAAGAAATAATGAGAAATTGTAAGAAATGGCTAGTCATTTTTATGAAATGACCTTTTTATATAAAATAACTTTTTATAAAAAAATATATAATTTTTTCCTCAATATTGATCCGGGCAACAATTAGACATATATCAGAATAATTACAACTTTTATGATACGATAGAATTGTCATGAAGGCTTTTTGTTAGGCAAATATGTGCCCAACTATCTGTTTATCGTGATAGCACGAAATGTCTTGACCAACACTCGAGTATCTAGAAAATTAATTTTTACTGCACTTACAAAAAATTAAATCAGATGAAAATAGATATGTAACTACGTGATGAATATACACATTTGTCAATTTCATGTTAATCTCATTCTATGGAAATGTCCAACAAAACTGAATGATGCAAATATTTTATATTTTGCGAAATTTTATTTTATAGGTACTATAATATTTTTTGATTGCTTGTCTTAGAAGCTTATATTTTCTGTCGAAAAAATTGTGTACTTATTAAACATAATTTATATAACTTTTTAGAAAGAGCGATCATTTTGTCAGTATTTTCATAAAGAGGTCATATTTTCCCTTCTTCTAAAAGGAATTCAAAGTTTGCTGTATCATGAAGCAAAGATTCCTTTAGAGTGAATTAATCAGAGGACATGGGCCTAAAGAAAAAAGCAATTGTCTCATGCAGAACTGAAAGTAAACGTGAGTTTTAAGTTATGACGTGCAAATATTTGACCATATACCTCCTAATAAAATAGGTGGTCCATGTTGTACAAATATTTGATCATAGACCCCTTGGTAAGATAGGTGGCCGAGGTAGGAAAAAAAGACTAATTAATCTCTTAATCCATTCTTTCGGACTGATGCGAGGAAGAGGAAAAAAATATTATTTTTTATAATTAAATTCAAAATTTTGTTTTTATGATATATTGAAACAAATTACAGCCGATCCTACAAGGCAGGCGAATCTAGGCTCGTACTCCACGTTACTCTGTCAAAGAGGTAGTTTGACCCAAACTATAGGAGAGCCGATCCCATTTGCCGAAGTCAAACCCAAACCCATATGGAGACCGACCCTTAGGACGGAGTGAGACTACAAAGGGCTTAGTGGGAGGTCATTTGTACAATCCTTAGTAAGTGATTGATGTAACAATTCACTGCTATCATTGTCCTATTCAGCCAATCAAGTCAAGTTTAAGTCCTATGTCAGACTTATGGGCAACAAAGTGATATTAATATTAAATACTTATGATTGATAAATACTTTTGACAATAGGCCTCAGCTGCATGATGAGGCTACGCACACTTTCATCCTACGGTCAATATCCATTGTATTCTACTATAAAAGCTCATACAATGTATCAATGCAAAGATAATGCAAGTTTAGACTTTCAACCTACAACTTTACTGTCGTTATGTTATTATCACGTATACTTCCCAAAGCTAACCCCATTTTTACATAGGAGGTCTGTATCTAAAACACCTCCCATACTCACATACTTATTATTTCAACTGACTTAGTAGTAAGAGTATGCGCGGCCAACTCCACCACCATCAGAAGGAAGCCATGTATGGCTAATGGTTTGTCTTAATATATAAGAACGTGACTTACGTTGAGGTGGGAGGCCTTGGAATCTGTTAGTTGCGTTGGATGTACAAATATAGACGTTAACATATTGGCGTGTGTGAAAGAAAGGTAGAGGTGGAAATGTCAAATAATTGCACCTCTAATTGACATGCGGATGACCTACCCGAAAGGAAGAATATTTTTTCTCTAAAATATGCATAAGAACGTGGCCCCAAGGGCCCTCCAATGTATTTGACAGAATTAGCCCCCAGCAACCACCTCAGGTTTATATTCAAAATCATGGGCCCCAAGAAGTCCCTCCACTCAGAAATAGGCAAGACAGAAGGGATGTAGCAAATTTAAGAAAGCAGGCTGGCCCATCATAGCAACCTCAGTATCAAGACAAGGAGGAAGATTCAGATGGTCCATGTAGATTCTTCGAATTAGATGATGATGATGATGATGATGATAATCTCCCATTTTCCAAAGAGTTGAGGAATGCCCATGTCCCCAGTACTTTGCACCACCAAAAATTGCCAAGTATGAAGGGAAAGGCGACTCGACGAAACATCTAAACAATTATAAGAACTACATGAGCCTGAGGAGAGCTTTGCATGTGTTAAAGTGTAGAGCCTTCCGTTTTACACTTATAAGAGTTGTTGAAATATGGTATAGCCATATACCAACTGGGAGTATCCGATGTTGGTTGAATTTCATAAACACCTTCTTGAATCAATAGCTATCAAGTAAGAATAGAGAGGCTCCCATCCAGCGATTGCAAAATATAAGGAGATAGGCAAGCTAAACCTTGAAAAGCTAATTTGCTCATTTCACTGATGAAATGACTTACTGTGAACAAGTCCTCGATAGAGAGGCTCTTTCAATTTTGAGAGGAGGCCTTAACATGAATACCATATTTTGGAGGGATGTGCGAATTAAGAATCCTACCATTTATGATGTCTTACTAAAAATGATAAGAAGTGAGATTGTTAATGAAGAATTGATAGACTATTGCAATTGAATCTCCTTGGGATTCCTGCTACCTCAAAAGAAACGACGATGCCCTGTCTCACATCTGGTGAATCGACAATGGACCGAAGCTGGGCATACCAGCGCCCCTACTTCAGGTCAGGCATTAGCTACTGTTACTTTGAATGCCGTACTTTCTTTAGCATATGAAGAGGATGGACCTAATGTTTAAAGATAAGGCAATTGCTTAAGGGATAGAAGCAAGGACCAGAATAATGAGCCTAGGAATAGATCTAATTATTCTTATCACCGAACTTTCAACCACGGCATAAATGATTGTATGTGCATGCTACATCATGTAGAACAAACTAATGCACATTTAGGAAGAAGGGATATCCACCACACGTAATGAAATACGCTCTCATCTAGGCATGATCAACAACCTAGATGAGATGGGGCGTGGCGACATCCCTGGGAAGAATTTCATAACATAGAAGGGATGAAGATAGGAACATGCATGAAAGTGGCTAAAGGCAAAAAAGAAATCCCTCGAGAAATGCTGACAATGCTCCCATTTGAGATATAGGTACTATTATGAGAGGACTACATGTTAATAGAGAATTTCAAAATACACAAAGAAACTATGCAAGGAAAGTCAAAGATCTCCCTGTGTTGAGTTACATAGTTAGCAGCAACCCCATGGGGCTGGAAATACGCCATCCATCACTTTTACCAAAGAAAATGAAGTGGGTTTACATTACCCCCGGTTGTGACGCATTGGTGGTAAGGGCTATTATGGCCGCAATGGCTTAAAGCACATGTTGATAGGCAATGGTAGCTCTTTCAATATCCAATTCGGAGCTACTTATGATAAGATGTTGATAGATCATGAGCTTACCTCCTTGACCTCTCGTTTATATGGTTGCTCTAGAGATAGCATAATTACAAGGGGAAAAATTACTCTTATAGAAGAAATAAGGCTGTTTCCTTGACAAACCATCATTTCATGGAGTTTCTTATTATGGATCATAGGTCAACCTAACACGGTGTATTGGGATGACCTGAGTTGATGAAACTTTGGGCTTTCACATCCATGCACCACTTATGCATGAAATTTATTTACTGAATATGAGACAAAAAAAATGTTATCTCAACTTGTTGAGAAAAGTTAAACCTCTAAACAGGAAGAATAGATTGAAATGGTAGACGTCCTTGCAGAATAGAAGATCTCTGTAGAATGGATGGCTCTTGAGGAAAGGGCCATGAATGATGGGCTGTATCGTTGTATCATGGAGTTCAATTTTTAAATGATCCCAGTAGAAGAATTGGAATACTTCCCAGTAAATCCTTAAGATCCTACAAAATGCTCCCAAGTAGGAAAAGAGCTAAATCTGGAAGACAAGCGAAAGTTGAAAATTTTTCTACGAAAAACCTTGGATATATTTGCTTGGAGACACAAAGACATGGTAGCCATTAACACCAACGTCAATTTTCACCACCTCAATATTGATCCTGGTGAAGAAATATAATGGCAAGTAGAAAGTATGCATAGACTTGTCCAATCTTAATCGGCTAAATCCAATGACAGCCATCCACTTTTAAAGATGAATCAACATCTGGACTCTAGTCCGGGACACGAGTTGCTAAGCTTTATGGAAGCCTATTCAAGTTATAATCAGATCGTTATGTACTCTACAAATGAGAAAAAAACCTCATTCATCATAGATAGAGACTAACCCTAAAAAGATTGAAGCTTTGATGGATATGAGGTTCCCTAATAAATCGAAGAAAGTGCAAAATCTAAGAGGTCGATTGACAACCTCAAGCCGATTTGTTTCGAAGGTCATCGATAAATGCCTTCCATCTTTCAAAGTTCTTAAGGAAGAAAAAGGGTTCTAATGGAATGAGAAGTATAAAGGGGCTTTTCAAGGGCTGAAGAAGTATTTGAGGCTGTCCCTTCCTCTCGAAGCCTAAG